TTTTTTTTTTTTTTTTTTCTATAACAGCATGAGTAAATGTGACAGCCATTCCAAGATAAGCCTCTAGCAAGCCTCAGAGATGGTAGCCTTATCTGTATATTGGTGTATGTGCAAGTGGTACAATACCTAATTTTTAAGAGTTATAATAAATCAAAGCTTATGTAAGCTAAGCTATAGTTCCACATTAGAAGGGAAATTTAGGTGTTGATCTTGGTGTGTTTTGACAGTCTCAGCTTTTCCCTACCAGCCTATTATTTGTCATGTTTCCCCCCATCTAACAGAAGCCTACAAACACCCTGCAAAAAAAAAAGTAGAAATGCTACTGGAGAATATGGCACACAGGACCCCTCCCCATCATGCAAGCAGTGTGTGGGGAGACACGTGCCTCTCCTGTTATGTGTCCTCTCTTACTCCGTAGTGTGGCTTCCTGCTGTGGTGCATGGCCCCCAGCCCTTCCAATGGCGCTGAGCTCCTCTACAAGCGCATCATCCGTCCTGTCTTCCTGAAGCACGAGGCCCAGGTAGACGTTGTGGTCAAAGACCTGAAGGACAAAGCCAAGGAGACTGCAGATGCCATCACCAAAGAAGGTAAGTCTTGGGGCAGCATGGTTCAGTGTGTGAGAGGAGGCGGGATATAGTGGGGCTCAACAAGCTGCCCAGTCTTCCTGTCCTGTCCTTCAGTCAAATGCCAAAGCTACTCTGGATTTCATTACCAAGACTACTTGTTGCCTTTTACTTTTCCCAAGATTGTTCCTCTTTGCCACATTTAATGTACCTTTCAATTATCATATTAGCAAGTATGATTTTCAGTGGTGGCAGAGATTAAGATAATATTCTAATTTATATACAAATATAATCTCTTTATCCCAGTTCAGGTTGAACTGCTTACAGTGCTTTTCAGGTGTTTTTATTTTTAGGTCCAAGAGAATGTTCTCTTTAGCTGCCCTGATTCATTCATTCAACAAATAGTTGGTTTTTTAAAGATTTATTTATTTATGCATACAAAAGCTGGGGTGTAGGCCAGAGGTGTTGGGGGGTAGTGGTGAGAGAATTCAGCAGAGACAGAGTAGGGAGCAGACAGGTAGATTTACTGAAATACATTGCTGAGGGGAGCAACAGGCGAG